AAAAGACCCATGGAATACCTTTTGATGAAGTTAGAGATTAATGCATAGTGACGCAGGGTGGCGCCTAACGAGAATTAAGTTAGAGACCTATTGTCAAAGTGGTGTCCAATGGTGTTATCCTATTCCTAATGCTCTAGAGAGAAAATGCTCTCATACTAACAAAAATGAACTGGTGTTCAACACCACTCGATGTCACTCTGTCCTATAGCCTAAAGGTGTTATTAAAAAAAGTAGAGAAGAGAAGGTATAAAGATTGAAGAAAGCATTGTATGGCCTCAAACAAGTATCGTAGGCCTGATATCACAATATTGAGACCTACTTTGCACGAGAAGAGTTTGAGAAATGTTAAATACACATTTCTCACTCAATCACAACGAACACTAGTGCTATCAAGGAAAATGACAATGATTATTTTTGTCCATAGGCAGCGATTCCTCAACCGAGACATATACAAGCGAGAAAAAACCTGCAGAAAAGGAACCAAAATCATCCACTCAAATCACTAGCCTCATGCGAGCACCCAAAAATCTTCAAACGAAAACCTCGTCACCAAACGCAGAAGCCCTAGCTGCGCCACCGCCGCGCCATCACCGGGCCCTTGTGCTCCATTGTCGCGCCTTTGTTGCGCTAAGCATTATCCCCTACGAAGGCGAGATCCATCGCCAGCCGCCACCAACGAAGGTGACACTAGTGCAGTCAAGGGAAACGGCACCGATTATTTTCACCCATAGACAGTGGTTCTTGAACCGAGGCATATTCAGGCGAGGCAAAAAGTCTACCCTTTTATGCCTCGGTTCACAACCGAGGCAAAAAATGAAAGATTTCATCTCGGTTCAAAAGGAACTGATGCAATAAATTTTTTTGTTTTTTTTCTCCAGGAATTTATGCCTCGGTTCTCTCTGAACCGAGGCAATATGTCCTCTCATCTTCCTATGATATCTTCCTACAAATTGTTAAACTGGATACACAATTAAATGCTGCCACCGAATTTAGGTTGTTCAAAATTCTTTTGACGAATCTCCCTGCACTAATATTCCCAGGAATTTAATGTTAGTTAAAGTTCTGTCATACTTATTTACCCTGCCGTAAAAGGTTGAAATTGAGTTTTAGAACATTATGTTATTAAGAAAATCCCTTAACATAATATTTCTTACAATAGAAGTTCAAGTTAATTTTTATTAAAATTTTCTAAATAGCACTAAAACTGAAAAAGAAAATAATGATGGGATTCTCCCAAAAAATATATGTGATATATAATAAAAGAAAGAAAAGAAAAAGAAAGAAAAAAATTATGAAAACATACTCTGCAAACGCCCCAAATGTCACCACAAATATTACATCCCAATTAAAAAAATCATGATCATCTAAATCAGAGAAACCTTAACTATTATTTGCTCTTATGATCATACGATGCCCCAATTTTTAGATGTAGGTGAAGATTTACTCCCTCCATCAAATTCTGATTTAGCACACATAAATGAAACTTCCATCTTCAATTTTAGCAGAATTAGTTTTTCCATAGCCCTTTTGCCCAAACCAATCTTCCATGAAACGTGCAGCTGCACCTTTATTATCCCCACTAATTAATGAGTTTGTCCAACTCATTGATGTTCCATGAGTAGGAAACCAATTGAAGGATCCAACAAGTCCCCATTCATCATCAACAAATTTTAAAAGAGTCATTTCTTTATCAACATTCTACTTATAATTTCTTCTCTCTGCAGCAGGATTATTTAGATAAGCATTGGGACTGCGATTTACACCAGCATCCAAGAGTTCTCCTACAAGTATAAGATAACTTTCCAATGAGTTATAAGTTATTACTATCCAAGTTCACCTAAAGATAGGAAAGAAGATCAGCAGTAACCATTTTGTCCTGTGATTTCATACCACAACAGAACTAGTACAACAATGGAGATCTAGTATTGAATTTGAACCATACCTACAAATTAGCAAAAAAATAAATAAATACCTACATAAGTCTGAATCACATCTAACCCTCCCTCCTTGGCCTTCTGAATAAGATTTGGCCACATCTGAAAACAAAGGAACTCCACATCTGTTAAAAATGCAAAAAAGGGAGAAACTTTAAGCCACACATTTGAGAAAAATAAGAAGATATGAGGACCCTGAAGCACATTTGAGAATAAAACTTCTTTGGCCATTAATGGTGATAGCCTTTGAACCCTACGTACTTCCATCCCTGCGACAGCAGAAGCCCCTCACGCTGCGAATCGTTCTTCGCCATCTTCCTCGCGAAGAAGCTTTCCTTGGTCGTCGCCGATTGACCTGCTCCGGATGTCTGCCGAACTCCCCTTCGCTTCTGCATCTGCGTCAACGGCGGCTTCCCCTTGCTTGCTGTGAGGTTTTCCTTCACTACCGGCAGATCGCGCAAGGGACGACCATCGACAATGGCTTGGGTCCAATATAAGAAGAGAGAAGAAAGAAGTTGGAGTTTGAACCCTCACAGAAACACCACCGCTGCGGGATGCCCTCGTCGCGACCTCACCGTGCCTCGTCGCGACCTCACCGTGCCTCGCCGCGACCTCACTGTGCCTCGCTGCGCTCGTCGTGCCTCACCGCGCTCACCGCCAATGTTGAGTCTGCCACGATGAAGAAAAAGTGTAAAAGCTTCAAGCTTTTGATTTCGCATGATGAAGAGAAAGAAGAGAAAAAGGAAGTGGAGATACCAAGGCTCGCGTGAAAGTAATACCTAAGGCGAAGGGTTTTCATTTTGAAATCTGAGAACCTTTTGGCCTCGGTTGGTTAGAGGCAGTAGGGGAATAGTCAGAACATTAATTACACCTCGGTTTTGTTACTAACTGAACTTTTATGCTTCGGTTCTTTTACAACCGAGGCGTATAAGTTCCTTAAAATTGCAAAAATGCCACCGTCTTAATATATGCTTCGATTTTCTGAAAACCGAGATATATGACCCGCGTTCTTAACTTCGTTTTGTACTAGTGTGAGATCATTCTTGAGTCGCGCCTGCCATAGTGTTGCCAATCCCGTAAAAGCCCCAAATCGAAACCCTAAATCGCGAGACGTCGTTGCTGCCACCTTTACAAACAGGGATCGTCACGCCGCGAAGACGAAGTCGCGCCGCCCGCCCCTCCCTACGTGAAGCCACGTCTGAACCTGAAAAGAAAGAAGGGAATAAGAGAGCCTTCCATCTCTTGCCAAAGACGAACCTAAAACGGAAAAGAAAAAGAAGAAGATGAACGACCCATGTGCCACCACGAGAGCAATGGAGGAAGAGGCACCAACACGCGACGATCCTTGGACCACCAACGAGAAAAAAGCTTCGCCACTGCAGAGAAGGTTGCGCTAGGAAGACGCAAAAGTACGAGGAAGAAAAACACAAAAAGTAGGGTAAATTTGTTAACCTTATTTAAAGCGATACTACCTCGGTTCTATCATTACCTGAGGCAGTAGACTACTATATGCCTCCGTTAACAAGGCAATTGATGCCTATATGCCTAAAAAAATGTTCTGAAATGCCTATACGCTTCGATTCTACTAGAACCCGAGGCAGAAAAGCCTTTTCACACCGGTTCTGAATGAACCGAAGCTGTAGGGTTCGAACAAAAATAAATGGAACGTTTAATAATCAGACCTGTCATTTTAGTACAGGACATACTGGCTTGGTGGATATTTTAACCGAGATAATATGGCGTATATGCCTCAGTTCCCCTTGAACCAAGACAGATAAGTTCGACAAAACTACAAAAATGTCATCGCGTTCATATAGGCTTCGGTTTCTCTTAAACTTATATACCTATTGTGCGAGTTTAAATGTTTTTTTTTACCGGTGGAGGTAAAATCTTAATTATTAGTTTATATGTTGATATGTTGATGATTTAATATTGGATTGGAATCTTTGTTTTTCAAAAAAGATATGCACAAGAAGTATTATCCCATTTTGGATTGCAAGACAACAATGCCGTGAAGAATCCCATGGTGCCAAAAACTCAGTTGTCAAAAAATACAAGGGAATAAGGTGTTGAAGAAACTTTATTTAAACAACTATTCAGAGTCTGATTTATTTAGTTGCCACTAGATGTACACGATGAGTTTACTCAGTATATTCATATGGCTAACCTACTACAACACATTGGTTGGAAACAAAATAGTTTTTATGGTATATTAAACGTACAACCAATTTTGGAATTTGATAAACATTAAGAAAAATGTGTTATCTGAATAAATAAATTGTACAGTGAGCTATTGGGTAAAAGAAGGTGACCAATGTTATTTGGATGAAATTTTCGTTTATCTATATCTTTATTTCCGAATATATTGTCGGATGTTTTATTTTATTTATTTATTTATTTCACTTCTATAATTTGTATAATTAGTATGTTATATAACTTAACAAACGTGACATGAATAAATTTCATCATGCAAGAAATATTCTTAGTTGGTTTTCATAAACTTTTTCCTCATTTTCAAAACATTGCATAGCATTTGTTCATTAAAAACAACATACGACGACAAGGTCAAGAGAGTGACTTTAGTCCAAGTCTAGGTATCTTTCGTGGAATTCCCAGCTGTTCAATGCAACTAGACGGTAAAAAACCCACGTTTGGTGAAATCTTGACAAACACACTTGTCCCTTTTTTTCTTCAATGACTTCATACTCAAAATTCTTTAACTTTTCTCATGCATGGTGATTACTCCTTAGAAAGCTTCACCATCTTCATCATCTCCTTTTACAATTAGAAAACCCTTGTAGTAACCCTCAAGTCAGTGTTTCTTGTGAACATCAAAACCTGAATCCAAGAAAAGTTTTTCTCTCCATGCAAGTAAGCAACAACCGAGTCATTCATTATACAACATCCTAAACTTGGTTTCTCAATTATTGATTCCTTTGTTTCTGAGATTTTTATATACAAATCAGAGTCTCTCTATAGTCTAATATTTCTTTAACCTTTTTGTTCACAAAAATTCCGAGGTGGTAACTAAATCAATTTGTTCATCATGACACTTTTGGTGTGCTACAGAAAGACAAGGAAATTGTTGTTGAAATGGAAGAAGGCAGTCATGAGAAGAAGAAGGAAGAAACCCTACCACCTGGTTTTCGGTTTCACCCCACAGATGAAGAACTAATTTGTTACTATCTCACAAACAAGATTTCAGATTCTGATTTTACAGCAAAAGCAATAGCTGTTGTAGATCTCAACAAATGTGAGCCATGGGATCTTCCTGGTACAGTTATATATCTTTCACAAAACCATGTTTTTTCGTTCATTATAAGATTCATCAATACTTTATCTCATACATGTACCTCACTTTGCACTTCCTTTTTCCTTTGCACACTCATCTATGTATCAAGAAATCATAGATCCGTATGGAAACTATTTATATTGCTTCATTTTGTTCATAAATTTTAGTACTTATTACACATATTTGATCTAATTTGCATCCATGTTGTTCTGAAAATAGTCAACGCCATCTAGGGTTTCTCTATGATATACAATAACTACATACCCTTTTCACAGGCAAGTGATCTACTTGTTCCATCAATTCATCGTGTTTCATACTAATTTTTTCTATTTATTTTTATGGTGAATATTTTGACAGGAAAGGCGAAAATGGGACAAAAAGAATGGTACTTCTTCAACCTAAGGGATCGTAAATATCCAACAGGTGTGAGAACAAACAGAGCAACGAACACAGGGTACTGGAAAACCACTGGAAAAGACAAAGAGATCTTGAACAGTGTTACATCGGAGTTGGTCGGTATGAAGAAGACTTTGGTTTTCTACAAAGGTAGGGCTCCCAGAGGAGAGAAAACCAACTGGGTCATGCATGAATATCGCATTCATTCAAAATCCACCTTCAAAATCACTAAGGTATTGCACCTAAACTTATTTATGACTAAGATACTCAATATTAAATTACCTAAGAAAATATTTTAATTTTACTAGTTAATTAGAAAAATACTTTTGAAATACAACCACAGATAATTATTTGAGAAATAATATTATTAAATAAACTAAAAGTAGTTAGATTTTTCTATAATTATATGTATATATGTGTATGAGAAAATTTTTTATATGTAAATTAATCTAGAATGTATAAATTATATGTACTTACTGTGCCTCCTTCAATAACCAATTTGAAATCGAAGAGTAATATATACCCTCCAACATGTACTTAGTGACTAATTTTTTGTAACTAAAAATTTAACCACTATTTTGATTACTAAATCACAAATAATTTTTTGTTCACCAATTCCGTTATTGATAGTATATATTTTTTTTTCAATCACTATTCAATACATTTTCAATGGGTAATAATGATTTGTTCACATTTCCACGTCTAAAATTAGAACATTTGAAGTTAATTTTTTTTTTCTGTTAATGGATATTCCTAATCTACAAAATTGTTATTGCTATATATTTTACTTCGTAGTATATCTCCATGATCCAAATTATTTTTCCTATTTATTTATTTCATCCTTTTGATGGTTATGTATTAACTGTTATGTAACTAACAATTTTCATATAATACAAGTAACTAGTTGCATAAGATCTTATGCAAATAAATATTTTATAATTACGTGTTAAGTATTTTATGGAGCACAATATGAAACACAGAAGTTGGGATAGATTACATGTTAAGAAGTGGGTTTTAAACCTAATTCAACTTCACAAAACTGGCTTGTATGGTGAGGTATGTACTCACTTATATATTATAATTTGGCCTTATCTCTAATCAATGTGGAACTTCCAACACATTCCCTTCAGGTCTGATAGTGGCCCTACAACGGGTGAAACAGAAAACCTACATAAATCTCGTTAGAAAAGACTCCAATCAAACTCATTAAGAAGTAAATTTTTAACAACATATTTGTGTCTCTAAATAAATTTATCTAATATAAATTTATAATATGGATTATCAAATATCATACGATTTGTCTAGTATTTATGACACAAAGTCTGACATACAGCAAGATGAATGGGTGGTTTGCCGGGTGTTCCGGAAGAGTGGTGGTGCAAAAAAGTTCCCCTCAAATTCAAACCACAGCAGAACAGTGAACCCTTATGGTGTGGAAGTTAGCCCTAGCGTTGTGCCACCTCCAATGATGCATCTGGGTGACCCTTCTGCTCATTTCAATTTCCTTTATGGATCAAGAAACTACATGATGAACCCTTCAGAGTTCAGAGCAACAGTTTCCATGGCTGCCACCGCACAAACACAGCCCCTTCTGAGGCCAATGATGGCACCACCACAGCCACTTTCTGCTCACACAGTGGCCCAAATGAATCATGATTTCAGTTCCAACATGGTGACACCTGCTGCTGCTCTTGCTGCTCACAGTGTAGACTATGGTGCAGACATGACCAATGCAAATTCTCATGGCAATAGGTTCATGGGCATGGACCACTGCATGGATCTTGACAGTTACTGGCCTTCCTACTGAATTCGGACTCTTTATAAGTTTCATACATTTATAAAAAACATTCTAGTACTGAAACTGTAGTTGGATATCATCAAAATGATTATGTTTTTTTAAGTGTTTTATGTCTCGTTCACGTTCAGGTAAAACTACTTTGCACAAGACTTGTGTTTGTCCCAAGATAATTACCTTTTTCAATTGCTCTATAGATTGATAACTATATATATATATATATATATATATAGACCTCCTGGTAGTGTTTTTAGATGCTAATTTTGATATACTATTTCTTAGTGGGTGTATTCATGCTACTAAGTAAGGTTCAAGTGTGATTTAAGCTGTGTTGTATGCTTAATCTTTGATTATAGTTTAGCATTAATTCTGTGTTGGTTGCGTTGTCGACAATTCAGACTGAGATGACGCACACTTATACTTTATGCTAAAACGAAAAATTCCTAAAAAAAATACGTAAAAACATTTTTATCACGTAGAATATGATTATTATTTTTTAAATAATTAGCCTCTTAATATGATTAGTATTCCAAATGGATCCCATGTTTCGTACCAAACATGTGTTGAACGACTTGGTTTTTGCCTTCTATATATTATGTTAATATATTTTAGTGCGAAAACTTTTATGGGAATCACATGTTAAAATTATGCATGATCAGAGATACCTAATTATCGAACTGCTGGAATTATTATTATAGTTTGCATGAAATTGGTTCAGAAGGTTTCTCCTCAACCTTTTTTTATGTACTTTTTTTAAAATAATTTGTAGTCGGGATTAAAAATAACAGATGCTTAATATTTACATGCTATTAAAAATAAGAGTACGTGTTAGCGAGACAGCGAAAGTGGAATTTATAACGGTGATGAGATGCAGAATAAACAAGATAAACAAAAATTATTTTTAAGAGGTATTTTATAACTGGGTATTTATATTAACAGATTAATAGTTTATTATTACACATTAATTCAAGGAATGAATTGTGTTAAGGCAACACCAAGGTAACCTTGTATGGCTATGGTAAGACAACCTATGCCTAATTGTGCAACATAGACAACTAGTGCAGTGGGGATACGTTAGACATAGGAACGACAATTCATCCTCATATTTAACAACTTTGAAATTTTTGTATCACCCTAATTCATCCAGAAACGTGTATAATCGTAGTACCACACTGGTATCCACCTTTGTATTATTACAAATACCAATTAAATAATTTTTTTACAAAATGTGAAAAATCACACCAAATAAATCGTGATATTATCAAGTATTAAATGTTAAAACATAAAACATGCATTTTCTGTTTTCTGATATCAAATAGAAAAAAGAAATTATAATTATATAAATATCAAATAAAAAATATATAAAGGTCAAATAATTATATAAAATATAAAAATGATTGAACGTGTGTCTTAGAAATAAGTTATGAAATAAAGATAAAAATGCTAATATATTTTTTTAGATTATGTAACAAATCAAAGATGTTTTAGTAATTTAAAATGAAGATAAGTACGAGAATGAAGACGAAGACGAAAGGTTCTTGGGTATGAAAATAGTGACACGATGAATATGTATATATATATTTATTCTTATTCTAATATCTAATTTTTCAAATTGGCTATTATTCATACTTATATTTAATAGATGTTTTTTTTGTCAAAATCGGAACCATCTCAAACAATACCAATGAGAAAGCTCATTTGTCATTCATAATCAGAAACAATAATGTTAGGAACATTTAAGTTCTTGTTCACTTGAATGGATTTGAGAAAGAGTGATTGAAAGAATTTGAGAGGATTTGAAAATAAATTTTTTATTGTTTATTTGAATGGATTTTGGAGGTAAATGAGAGTGGATTTAGAAGTAAATTTTTTTAATGTATCATATCAATCAAATTATACACTAATTCTTACAAATTTTACTTCAAAATTCACTCTCCCTTATTTTCAAAATCCACTCAAATAAACAACAAAAAATTTAACTTCAAATCCTCTCAAATTTATCCAATCACTCTCCCTCAAATCCATTAAAGTGAACAGGGGATCCTTCTAACATAAGGGAGGGGTTGTATTGGCTAGGCTCGAAGAAGGCGTGAAGAATTGAAGTGAAAACTAAAATGGTTTGAAGGAACATGTGAAAGACCTTTTCATGATATCTATATTGGTAATGGATTCTTCTGTAAAACATGTTGGAAATGCATAATTTTATTACTGACGAATATTTATATTAGTAAAAATGTGGTCAAAAGACCTATCTAATAAATGATGGTTAAAACTCATTGTTTGTGGAGCTTTTAACAATTATTATTTACATAAATTGTCTAAAGCTTCTCTAACTGTTACATTGAAGTGGCGGTACAAACACTGATTTAAATGAGGTAGTGGGACGATTCTAAATTTCATAATAAGAGAGGTTTTAGACATAGATGTCCAAAATGTGAATGAGAAGCAGTATGATAGGTTGAAAAATGCGACAACAATTGTGCCAGTAATAACGGTGACAAATGTTAGAATATTATATCAAATGAAAACAACGATAATAGAAGAAATGAATCACAAGAAAGGAATTGCAAAGAGATAGTACATTATGAAAGGCTTCTCTAAAATTTTAACGACAATTTTAAGAGGAATCGCTGTTGTTTTTTCTTTTAAATTGGACTTTCAACAAAATTCTACAAAGAAATTCTTATTATTTTTAGAATGAATCACTTAAAATATTTTTTTATCAGGTGTCACAAAGATCTAAAAAAATAAAAAGTTTAGAATTTTTCAAAAGTAAAAAGTGCGACACAAAATCATAGCTTTAGACAAATTATTAGACATAAACGGTGACGTGTGTAAGTTGGTTAAGTTTTGTTAGGTGAACCACATTTGCAAAATCATGTACGTAACTCGATCGATTACCCATTGATGTGATTCTTCTTAGAACCTTACAAGAACTTGAACTCTCAATAATGGAGAAGAATTTACAAATATTTTCAACATAGGAAAGGTCTAAGGTTGATGGAATTCAATATTCTTTCGGATAACGATGTTCATACACCGTTTTATTTACACACTTTATATCTATGCATTTCCGTACATGATAAAGCAAAATATATTGATGAAAGATTGTGTGAAAAAGGTAGTTTAACAATGCATCAATGAAGTATCAACCTACATATATGTAATCAAACTTAAGAATGTAATTAAGAATAATAAACAACGGTTTATGTAACAGTTAATTTAGCTCACAAGATAATTAAAATCGTGATAATAGTTAAGATAGTAAAAATTCACAAAATCACTGGAACGGTAACAAGAGAATAATATATTTTATGTTTTATAATTATTTTGATCTCAAATTTAATGAAATAACATGATGAAAAACTCCTAGTCTAATGACCAATCACAATAAGCATGATCNAATTCTACAAAGAAATTCTTATTATTTTTAGAATGAATCACTTAAAATATTTTTTTATCAGGTGTCACAAAGATCTAAAAAAATAAAAAGTTTAGAATTTTTCAAAAGTAAAAAGTGCGACACAAAATCATAGCTTTAGACAAATTATTAGACATAAACGGTGACGTGTGTAAGTTGGTTAAGTTTTGTTAGGTGAACCACATTTGCAAAATCATGTACGTAACTCGATCGATTACCCATTGATGTGATTCTTCTTAGAACCTTACAAGAACTTGAACTCTCAATAATGGAGAAGAATTTACAAATATTTTCAACATAGGAAAGGTCTAAGGTTGATGGAATTCAATATTCTTTCGGATAACGATGTTCATACACCGTTTTATTTACACACTTTATATCTATGCATTTCCGTACATGATAAAGCAAAATATATTGATGAAAGATTGTGTGAAAAAGGTAGTTTAACAATGCATCAATGAAGTATCAACCTACATATATGTAATCAAACTTAAGAATGTAATTAAGAATAATAAACAACGGTTTATGTAACAGTTAATTTAGCTCACAAGATAATTAAAATCGTGATAATAGTTAAGATAGTAAAAATTCACAAAATCACTGGAACGGTAACAAGAGAATAATATATTTTATGTTTTATAATTATTTTGATCTCAAATTTAATGAAATAACATGATGAAAAACTCCTAGTCTAATGACCAATCACAATAAGCATGATCAAGAATATTGAAGAAGAGATAAAATCTTGAACCACATCTAGTAGAGTAGGAATAATTTGGATCTTGATTTTTGCATCAAGTATTATAGGATTTCTTTTTTGGATGTTGTATCATGGGTTAAATAGTATAAGATTTTGGTCAACATAAGTCAACTTCCTAAGTTGACCTATAGGTGACACCTTTTGTGGTTGACTTTAATCAACAACCACCTAGACCACCTTAGGAAGCAACATAAGGGCATAATTGGTCTCCTTTGGTGGAGGTCAACACTCAACTTCATCCGGATAAGTCAATAAAAATAAAAACATAAAAAAATTTCATAAAAAAATGTATATATAATTTTCAAACTTTAATTTAGACCAAGAGCCCAAGAGTTTTATACATATCTCCATCCCCTCTTCGCTTTTCATACCCCTCACAAGATACATAACTAGAAAATATTTTTGAAATATTTTCTAATATGATAATAATTTGAATCAATATCATGCCAATAATTATAAATAATATTCCTAATGATAATTAAAAATAATAGGGTTAAATATGTTTTTAGTCCCTAAATTATTGGTCGTTTCTGGTTTTCGTCCCTCTTCCAAAGTAAGGTACAATTTGATCCTCATTCTTTAGAAAAACGTTCGTTTTAGTCCTCAAAATTTTGTTTTTAGTACTCGTTTTAGTTCTCAAAACGTTCGTTTTTTCAACTAAAACGAACGTTTTTTAAAGATTGAGGACCAAATTGTACCTTACTTTGGAAGAGGGACGAAAACCAAAAACGGTCAATACTTTAGGGACTAAAAACATATTTAACCCAAAATAATATCTTGGTATAATTTGTTGCGACATTTTCTTTTTTTTAAAAAAAAAGAGAGAAAGATATGATCTTAAAAATTGACAAAGTTTCTGAAAATAATTATAATCAATGTCTTAGATACTAT